CAAGTGGACTGTTCAACTTGCCGATTCTTCCACTGAACCTTGATGGATGCAATCTCCTTTGATCTCAACTTGCGGACCTCTCTATCTAAAATGGCAACAGTCTCCTCATAAGACAAATTCTCATCAAGAAGAACTGAATCCCAACGAATAATGTAGTTTCCATCCCCATGGTATTTTTTCAGCATAGACACATGAAATACTGGGTGACTCATGAGAGTCCTGGAGGCAATACAAATTCATAAGCCACATCCCCCACACGCTTCTGAACTTCAAATGGACCAATATACCTCGGACTAAGCTTACCTCGCTTCCCAAACTGCATCACCCCTTTCATGGGTGAAATCTTCAGCAAGACTTGTTCACCCTCCATAAAATCCAAGTCACTAACCTTTCGATCTGCATATTCTTTCTTCCTGTTCTGAGCTGCTAGAAGCTTCTCCTAAATGAATTTTACATTATCTAACGATTCTCTCAAAAGATCGGTACCCCATAGTCTCACCTCAAATGCATCAAACCACCCAATGGGAGACCTACATCTCCTCCCACACAGTGCCTCAAATGGGGCAATATAAATACTTGACTGATAGCTATTATTGTATGAAAACTCTGCTAAGGGTAATAAGTTATCCCAATGACCACCAAATTCTATCACACATGCACGAAGCATATCCTCTAACACCTGATCGTTCGCTCAGACTAACCATCAGTCTGAGGGTGAAATGTTGTACTAAGATCCAACCTAGTACCTAATTCAGCATGCAATGTTCTCCAAAACCTAGAAGTAAATTGCGTACCTCTATCTGATATGATGGAGAGTGGAACTCCATGCAATCGAACAATTTTTGAGATATAGAGTTTGGCTAACTTCTCTTCATTGTAAGTCACCTTGACCGGAAGGAAGTGAGCAGACTTAGTTAATCTGTCAATGATTACCAAAATAGAATCAAACTTACCCAATGTCTTTGGAAGACCAACCATAAAATCCATTGCAATTTTTTCCCATTTCCATTTAGGAATGGGCATTTTCTGAAGTGTTCCTCTGGGCCTCTGGTGTTCATACTTTACCTGTTGACAATCGGATATTGGGCAACAAAATCAACAATGTCACGCTTCATCCTACTCCACCAAAAATGTTGCTTTAGGTCACGATACATCTTGGTTGCACCAGGATGTATAGAATACCTTGAACTATGAGCCTCTGTAAGAATAGTGTGAATCAAATCATCTACACGGGACACACATACCCTTCCCTTAATCCTGAAGATGCCTTCTTCATTAATTACTGCCTCTTTAGCCTCTCCTCGCAATACCATATCTCGAATTCGACTCAGCTTCTCATCAACGAACTGATTTCCCTTAATTTTGTGAAGAAAAGAAGATCTTGCCTCCACACAGGCCAAAATCCTCCCTTCTCTAGTACTTCTAGTCTCATAAAGTCATTAGCCAAAGTCTTAACCTCTCTAGCGAATGGGCGTCTAGAAACTTGTAAGTGGGCTAGACTTCCCATGCTCTCTACTTTTTAACTTAAAGAATCTGTCACCACATTAGCTTTTCCTTGGTGATACAAAATAGTAATATCATAGTCCTTCAATAGTTCCATCCACCTCTTCTGCCTCAAATTAAAATCTTTCTGAGTAAAGACATACTGTAAACTACAATGACCTGTATAGACTTCACACTTGACCCCATATAGATAATGTCTACATTGCTTTATTGCAAACACGACTGCAGCCAACTCCAAATCATGGGTCGGATAGTTACGCTCATGCACTTTCAATTGCCTCGAAGCATAAGCAATTACATTCCTCTCCTGCATTAGCACTGCACCCAACCCAGAATAAGATGCATCACAGTAAACAATGAAATTCTTACCTTCCACTGGCAAGGTAAGAATTGGTGCAGTAGTCAACAAGGTCTTGAGTTTCTGGAAGCTTTCTTCACAGTTGTATTACCATACAAATGGAACATTCTGCTTAGTCAAATTTGTCAATTGGGAAGCGACAGAAGAAAATCCCTTGACAAATCGACGGTAGTAGCTAGCTTAAACAACAAAGCTCCTTACCTCTTTAACATTAGCAGGTCTTACCCAACTCTTCACTGCTTCAATCATAGAAGGATCCACCATCACTCCATCCTTAGAAACCACGTGCCCCATGAAGAACACTGAATCTAGCCAAAACTCACACTTAGAGAAATTGGCATAAAGCATTTTCTCTCTTAACAACCCCAATACAATTCTCAAATGCTTCTCATGTTCTTTCCTGCTCTTTGAGTATATCAGTATATCATCAATAAATACTATAACAAAGAGGTCTATATATGGCTTAAAAATCCCGTTCATCGGGCTCATGAAAGAAGCAGGGGCATTCGTAAGCCCAAACGACATTACTAAGAGTTCATAATGCCCATACCTGGTTCGAAAAGCAGTCTTTGTCACATCTGCTGCCTGAATTTTAAGTTGATGATAACCAGATCTCAAATAAATTTTTGAGAAGGTACAAGCATCTTGTAGCTGATCGAACAAATCATCAATGCGAGGAATAGGATACTTGTGCTTAATGATTACCTTGTTCAGTTGCCTGTAGTCTATGCACATCCGAAGACTTCCATCCTTCTTCTTCACAAATAAAACGGGAGCACCCCAAGGGGATGCACTTGGTCTAATAAAACCTTTATCTAACAACTCCTAAAGATGGGCCTTCATCTCCTTTAACTCAGCTGGAGCCATTCTATAAGGGGGTATGGAAATGGGGCGAGTACCCTGCTCCAGATCAACACAAAAATCAATATCCCTATCTGGTGGCATACCAGGAAGGTCTGCAGGAAACACATCCAGAAACTGACGGACTATCGAGACAGACTCAATTGAAGGTACTTGGGAAGTATCATCCCTGAGTTATGCCAAGAAAGATAAACAACCCTTACTAACCATTCTTTTAGCATGGAGAAAAGAAATGATATGAGATGGAGTGGAAATATAGTCACTCTCCCACACTAGCGGATCTGTCCCAGGCTTGGCCAATGTCACAGTTTTAGCATTACAATCTAAGATTGAAAAATTTGGAGAAAGCCAAGTCATACCCAGAATTACATCAAAATCAACCATCTCTAGAATAATCAAATCTACATGACTATCGCTCCCCACAAAAGTCACAAGACAAGACCTATATACCTTCTCAACTATCACAAACTCACCCACAAGAGTAGAGGCACGGTTAGGTATGTCAAGCAAATCATAATATAAATCAAGACCAGTAGCAAATGCGGAAGATACATATGAAAATGTGGATTCAGGATCAAATAATACAAAAGCCATGCAATCACTGACCAAAAGATTACCCGTGATAAAAGCATCAGATGTCTCTGCTTCGGACTTCCCGGGGAAAGCATAACAATGGGCCCTATCACCTGTCTGCCCGTTACCCCTACCATGTTGCGCTGCAGTAGTTCCACCTTGCCCGTCACCCCGACTGATTTGATGACCACCATTACCTTGGCCACCACGTCTTCCTGAATGGCGGCCCCTACTATGACCACCCCTATCTCTAGCTATTAGGGATCTGTAACTCTTTTGTGGACAATATCTCCTAATATGTCCAGTCTCTCCACATCCATAAAATCTCTGCACTCAAGCATAAGTCTCTATGACAATGACAATGTCTGGGGATAACCTCCAAACTCAGAAAAATGCTGACTGGTCTGCGATGGACCCCCAGCTACAGCTTGTAGTGAAGACTGAATAGGACGGGCTGGGTAACCTCCTGAACTCTGCCCTCTGGAGTAAGAACAACTAAACTCACCTCCCCTACGGAACATCATAGATGTCGAAGCCATGGTGAAGTCACCTGGCTTCACCCCTTCCACCTCTATCACAAAATCAACCACTTCCTGAAAGGATTTTGCTGCAGCAGCTACCTGTAAGGCTGGGATCTGCAGATCTAACCTCAATCCTTTCACATAACGGCGAATCCGCTCTTGTGGACTGAAGCAAAGCTTGGTGGAATACGTGGATAGTGTACGAAATTTAGCCTCATAAGCACTAACAGACATCTTGCCTTGCTCTAGGCTCAGGAACTCGTCTCTTCTCTTGTCCCTCAAAGTCCGGGGTATATACTTCTCCATAAATAAGCTAGAGAATGTTGCCCTAGTCATAGGTGTTGCCTGTTCTGGTTGACACTCGACATACGACCGCCACCACATTTTAGCATTCCCTTGAAACTTGTAGGTCACAAACTCAACAACGAATCATTCTACTATGTCCACTTTATGTAGCAGCTCATGGCAATCAACCAGAAAATCATAGGCATCCTCAGATTCAGCACCCTTGAAGACTGGAGGCTTCAACTTTAAGAATTTAGTGAAAAGTTCATGTTGATCACTTGTCATCATAGACCCTATAGTAAATAGAGGAAACGCGCTTACTTCCAATGAGGTATCCATGCGGGGAGCCACAACACCTGCATGTTGTACTCCCGGAACCTGAGGTGCTGGTGTAGAAAACACTGGGGGTGTCTGTCCCTGATCGGATAACCCGCTAAGATAAGTAAGAACCTGGTTAATCATCTCTGGGTAGGCTGGGGTGGTAATTCCTCATCTTGAACCTGATCGTTTTCCCCTTCTTCACCCTCTCTCACTACTTCATCAGTCGATGGAGGAGTCATCGCCCTATCACTAGCTGGACCAGGTGTTTGTCCTCTACCCCTAGAGGGCGTTCTCCTGCGACCTCTACCACGGCCTCTTGCCACTGCTCCTCCTCGTGCTACAGCCCCAATAGTTGGCTCAGACGCACCCTGTCTTGCCGGTGGTTGTGTTGGCAAAGTTGTTGCTCTAGTTTTAACCATCTGCGAAATATAGTGAGGATGTCAGATACCAATTTGTATCACCTAGATACCAATTGGATCCAAGTAATAGCACGAAAGGAAGAAAGAAAGGAGTTTTCCTAAAGTCCTATAGCCTCTAAAAGAAAAGTAAGGGCGTCCCCCTACCGTTCTTCAAGACTCTACTAGACTCGTCCTTGTGTGATGAGACCAACGAACCTAATGCTCTGATACCAAGCTTGTCACGACCCAAAAAAAGTCATGAATGGCACCTACCCTTAACCTACTAGGTGAGCGAACCAACAAATCTAAACCCCAACATTTACCAGTAAATAAATTATAAATAGTAAAAATAATGCGGAATATCCAAAACTCATTAACGAACTCAAGTAATAACATCTAAAGTTTAATACTTATTATTCCAAAATTCTGGAAGTCATCACACCAAGAACATCTGTCATCGAATTTCTAAATCTAAAAGTATTTAAGAAGCTAAAAATAGTAAAAAGATAGTCCATGTCTAAACTTCAAGACATCAAGACGTGAAGGAGAGAATCCAGCACGAGCTAGGAATAATAGCTCACCCTGAATTCGGATGTGCTGAAGACTGGATAGATCTGAGGATGAGTCGAAGTCGGTGGCACGCTTGCTGCACTCCACAAATAACAAAAAAAATAAATTACAAGTAGGGGTCAGTACAAACAACATGTACTGAGTAGGTATCATCGGCCAACTCAAAATAGAAAGCAATATATACTGAATAATAATATAAAATCAACCATAATACTTAACAGGTGGCAATGAACAAGTACAAGGACCATTGGCAACAACACCAAGCACACCTATGAGGACTCAAGCCTCCACACCATACTCCTTTGGGAAATAGATTCTTCGAATTTGAGTATGTTAACATAATTCAAGATACATTCTCTTTATTTTTATTGTGTCGGAACGTGACACTCCGATCCCCTAATATGTGTCGGAATGTGACACTCCGATCTAATCCTACATGTCGGAGTGTGATACTCTGATCTAATGCTACATGTCGGAACGTGACACTACGATCCAATACTACGTGTCCAAACGTGACACTCCGATCCAATACTAAGTGTCGGAACGTGACACTCCGATCCAATCCTATGTCATTATTTTATTTCATCAAGTCTTCTTTATGTTAAGGCGTCATCTTAATAGAGAGGATTTAGGATTGTAGATTCAACAATCTCATCATTCTAATCCACCATAATTATACAGTCACAATATACAAACACACAATCAAGCATATAGAAGACTTTACAATACCCCCCAATACATATCATTCGCTATTTAGAGTTTATCTATCACATAGAAGTAGACCATAACCTGCCTCCACCAAAGAATCGTGATCAAGCAAGCTACTTCTCCAATGCCTTTGTTGTCCTCTTCGTTCTCTCTTTATCGCTCGTTCTCCCTCTCTGTTCTTTTTATTTTTCTTCTCCAGATTCTTTTTCTTTTACCCTAATTATCATATAATCCCTTATGATAAAAGTACTCCATTATTGATCTCCTTATCATCTTCTTTAACTCCCAAGTAAATAAATTATTAAACCTACCCCACTATTTTCATAATTATAATCATTAATAGTCCAAAACACCCATTTAAATTTTAGCGGAAGTCCGACCCAGGGTGGAGTTACGCGACTTGTGACGGTCCGTCGTATCTATGACGGTTCGTCCTGCAAGTCTGTCACAGAGTTCAGAGAGTTAAATTCAGTAATGAGGTTACGCCACTTGTTACTGTCTGTCGTATGTATGACAGTCCGTCCTATAGTCCTGTCGTGAAGTGCAGCGAGTCGATCCAGTACCCTAATTTCAGAGTTGAAGTGTTTTGGAACGAAGACGCTCGACGGACCGTCGTGCCTATGACGGTTCGTCCTACCTATCGTCGAGGGTAATAAGGAGAGCAACAAAAGAAATTACACAAGTGTGGAATGACAGAGTCCATCACGGTCCGTCGTGACCATGAAGGTCCGTCGCGTGATCCGTCGACCCAGTCAGTTTTTATCAAAAAATGATTCTACTGCTTGAACCCACTAAACAGGTTGTTTCAGCTGGATATGTAGAGAAGTAATGAAAACCGGTTAGAGGATAGAACGTTGAAAGTGTAGTGATGCACCACTTAATTGAGTCATGCATGAGCTTACTTCTTGCAATTCCTTTCATACTTGTTTCTAGACATGATTAATCCTGAGGGGTTCAGAGTACCTATAAAAATAATTAGGGGAAATGGATGGAAGAACTCTGAATGTGATCAAATATAGATATATTGTCAATAACTGTTCCTTATCAAGTAGCTCAAACTTGTTTAGAAACTAATATTAGTTTTTATTTTTCACTCCGTTGTAGATAAATAATCTTAAACGAAATTGGTTAGCTCATAGTGATATCCATTGTTGTGTAGCATGATATGTAAGGCTATTCGATTTTCTATTTCGTTTGCATAAATCCAACACTTGAAAGCTTCTAAGTGGTCTTGGTAGTGACTGATTCTTAAATGCAGTTCGTACTCCCTAGAGAATTAAAGTGAGCACTCCACTTTGATTTTGTTACTCAATATGCGCTTTTGCTTTACCAAGTATTCGCAGGCAAGGTTTAAATTTGTTTCATTGTAAAAGTGCCCCAAGAACGATTTGCCCATATCTTTCCAACATGCTTAAATAGTCTATTCCATCATATATGTCATATTTTCACATGTTCAAGTGTTCCCTTTATTGGTTATTACTCCCACTGTGTTAGACTATTATGCAGCTTTACAAGATGTCTACTTACTTTTATCTACATTTATATGTATCTATTTACTTGGAGTATGTATCTTTCCTTAAGTTGAATTTGTCCACAATCCTCCTTGGTTCCACATTCATGTATACCGTGTCTTCGATATTAGTTTCTGAGTATTTGGCTATAATATAGAGTTCAATTCTCTTTGCTGAAAATTATACGGATTCACTTCGTATGTGCTTCAAAATTAGATGGAAAAATGTATATTCATTCATAGATGAAGTATTATGTTAGTGTCACATTTGCTTCTCATGTCATTGTCATTATTGTTAGTCCATTTATGTATGTCTTCTACTAGTATTCATAGTTCCATAACTCAATAATAATTATGCACCAAAACATCAATCCCAAATGAGTTATTATCAAGAAAAGAACAATCTCAAAAGAGTTATGATTATCCAAAGTACACAGTCTCAAAAGAGTTATGAACATCAAAAGTAACAATCTCAAAGTTAGAAAAACTATGTGAACAAAATTGTATAACTATGGGTGGCTGCCCACGGGAAAAGCCTAGCAAAGATCGACCCCAATTGGTATAGAAGGGTAGAATCTCAGGGACAAAAACTAGCATGGAATGATCTTGGTTGTTATAAGAGTGTGGCAGCTCAAGGGAAAAAGCGTAGCATGGGCCGATCCCAATGGGTATGGAAAGGTTGCAGCTCAAGGGCGAAAGCCTAGCATGGGCCGATTCCAATTTTAGAAATTATGAGGAAAACATCCCAGGGATTAAAATGCCTAGCATGGGTCATCCTCTTCTACCGCTGATCAACTGATCATTTCTATAATATGGCTTACAAAAATTATAACGCACAAAAAAGTAAAGAAAAGAATGTAACATACACAATTCCACAAGTATAAGCAAAGGTGGTCTCTAATTCATATCTATTCGTATTTGGTTTTACTTGAGCTCTCATATCATATATGGTTGTATTATGCCTTACATATTCCATACATTTTTTTCATACTTACGTCCCTTATTGGGGTGTTGCAATTCATGTAGAAGGTATGTAACACCTCGAAAATCCAAGACTCCTGGTAAAGCCTCACATAGGTGTCATAAAGTCTAAACACTGTTTGTAAGTCCATTTTTTGGAATATAGGTCATTTAGAAGGTTTAAGAACCAAATCGTCCAAAAATGTCCGGGAAGTTAGTTCAAAGGGATGTTTGTGTGCCTTAGATTTTTTACTAACTTTCAGGTGTCGTAGATGTACAAAAATTAGTGGAAAGGAAACTAATGGGTGTTTGATTTTGATGGGTTTGACTTCCCAAGGCCCAACCAAGGGCCCTTGAGGAGGGCCCCTGCTGTTTGATGCAGCATTGCCAGGTAGTGTGTATCGACGGGACAGACGACGGTGCGTTCGTGGAAGGACGGGGCGTCGAGGCCACTGTCATCCCACACTTATAAATATTCATGAAGGAGCTTGTTTACCTAGCTACTTTTACATGCGAATAGAGGGGTTGAAGAGGCGTCAATGGCTCGATAGGGCGCCGAGGCCACCGTCATCCCACACAAAGAAAAATTGGAGGAAGCCCTCACATTCAAAGTGTCTGACCGAGATGATGTAGTTCAGGATGGAGGGGGATTATCCGTCAACTCACCGACGTACCGTCGATCGGGGTCTCGTCTGTGAGGGTCGAATTTCACTATTAAATTTAAATGATTTCTTTTAATTAATTAAGTGTTTTAGGGGTTAGCTAGGGATTAAAGGGATACTAATTAAGTTAATTAAGACCCTCTATAAATACCCTTAACCCTCATTAACCTAAAAACAACTCTCAAAATAAACTCTCTTCCTTCTCTCTTACTTCTCTCTACATGAACTCACTATTGAAGGCTACCAAGAACTAGGGTTTGGGGGTGTAAAAATGGTGGATTCTTCATCAAATTGTTGAGAAACATTAAGTTATGGGTTCCATTCACCTATGAGATTCTTTCCACAAAGGGTTCCTTCAAAATAGATTTCAAAAAGTTGAGTTTTCTAATGGGTTTCATTCAATTACGAAATTGAAGTTATGGATTGAGTTTTTTATGAATTCTTAGGGTTATATTGAGTAGATTTTCAATAAATTCAACTTGTTTATGATAATTGTTGATGGTTTGATCTAATTTAAGAAAATGATCCTCTATCTCTAACCCTAGGTAGGGATCTTGACCTGTGTTGTATGGTGATAATTCAATTGAGATGTTTGTTGATTAGATTACTATCCTTTGGTGCTATTGTGGTTAAATTAAGATGAATTATAGTCCTATCATTTTAGTTCTTAAGATGTGATTTAGGTTATGAATTATGAATTTAAATTAGCCTATGTACCTTGTATGAAGTTGTGATCTAAAGATGAATTCTGTTATAGAGATGCAATTGGTCTTGTTATTCTATTTGTTATCATTGTGCGATGATTTTACTCCCCAAGTTGGGTTGAGTTATGGTTTGATGGTAAGACCTTTATCATAGACTATGAGAATGACTTGGTAAGTCTCAGAATCTCTATCTTTACTTCCAATTGTCATTAATTGTTTTTAAACCATGATATTACATTGGAGTATGCCATATACTTGGATTATAGGATTGTATGATGTTGAATTGAAATGTCCTTACTATGTTGTGAGGGTTATGAAGGTGTATGTGTTATAAAGATGGTGAAAACTATCAATGAGCCTTAATATGTTATGAAATTCTAAAGTGTTAACCTCAGTTATATGAATGGTGATGAAAGGACTTATACTCATACAATTCTTATTGAGATATTGATGATGATGATTATACAAGGGTAGACCCTATGGCCTAAATTATATTATGATTGATAATTAAGGGCTTAAAGACATTTCAAAAAAAAACTCTAACTTAGCACCGAATGAACTAGATGGAAGAGTGTCCTTTCCCGCATAGGGAAGGTAGAAACACTACATTACTCTTGATATTGGAGACTATAATGCATGGGCATAAAGAGGGTCCCAACTAAATCTCTTAGTTCTTGAACTTTCTTGCCCCATAGGAATACTAGGTAGTGGATCCACGTAGTTGCTATGTTTTATGTTTTATGTTTTGGTACTACCTTGGCAAGTAGTCCACCTTTTTTTGGTCTAGGGGTTTACTACACTGGATTCCACACTAGCTCATGTGGTCTATGTCGGTTAGGGAAAGATGTTCCCAAAAGGTAAAACGAATTAAAAGACTTGAACTCTAACTTAGTAAGCTAGGGTGTGTAGCTTAGTCTACGTAGGGGTATGGTACTCTACCTAGACATTGCACTATTTAGTGTTAAGGGCAGTCTTAGGGGAAGGTTATTATATGTTTATGTTATGATAATATATGATTAAATTGTTATATTGTTAATACTATATGTTGATTATTTTATTTATGAATATTCCTTGGATTATAATGATAATATACGATAAAATGCAAGCCTAAATGCCAAGATATGTAAAGTTGGACATTGGTCATGTTTTATTGTTGAGGATACTTAATTTAGTAAGGTTATGGGGTTTGCTTGGTTATTGCACGTGTTGACATGATAAGGACTTGTGAGTAGTTGTCCTGCTTATTATGACATGTTTAACTCTTATTCATTCTTGTGATATTATTTCTTTATATTAGGGTTGTAGTAAATCATGATTTCAACTATGTTGCGTTAAGTATTACTTGTTGAGATAGTAAGCATGTTTTGTTGATCAATATGACTTACTTGACTTTGCATTAAGCCCTAAAAGGGGTAGAATAACATGCTTTGATAAAAAGTTCCTGTTAGCATGTTTTGCTTGTGTATGTTAATAGGATCTCATACTTAGTACATGAGGAGTACTAACCCCGTTTTCTTCGCTGGTCCCAAACATTTTAGGTTTTGGTCATTGAAGAGTTTGAAAGGCGATATTGTTGAAGGCTTGGATTCTTCTTTTCATTCAAGTGGGCTACATCCTCAATTTTTGAGGGAAATGCCATTTTCTAACTTTGGATTTTGTATAGAGATTATTGGCTCTATCATATCTTTTCTTGTTATTTTAATATTGTACATTCGTATGACCTATAAATGGTCTTATTAAATTTATGTAAGGGTTATGCCCATGTTGTGATATTCGTTTAGATGGTACGAGACGAGACAATCGTCGAGACAATTTCTATATTTTTATTTATATATGTGCAATAAAAGTAGAAGGTTATGTAACTTTCCTATATGAAGGGTCAATGTATACTCCATATGAATAAAAATTATATGAATATAGAGGTCTATGTAAACCTCCAAGTAGATAAAATAAGAGTTTTTAATTTTTCCGCATCATTCAACCTATGAATGTGATGACATTAAACGAAGAGGCTAGTGTTAATCCTTTAAAAGGATGATGATGCCGGTTACGTCTAGAATGTGAACCCGAATGTGAAAAGCTACAAGTATTCAAAATCCGATCTCCCCAATAGAAGCACATGATACATGTTGGTGAGCTCCAGGTTGATTCGGGGTTTTTCCGAGTCTTTACTATGAGTATTTTCCTAGTATGGATTCCGATAGAGGCTTTGTAGACATTGTAAAGCTATGATATGTATTCACAGTTTCACTTGTCAAATGTATTGGTTGAGCTAGTCAACATGTGTTGTATATAATGCTTTTCATTAGTAATCTGCATAATAGTTTATTTTCTCATTATAGGTTACTTGTAAAACATGCATTCATAGGGTACTTGTCCGCCTCACCCAAGGTTGGGGTGTGATAAATATTTTTTAATTTGTTTAAAGGATTTATTAGGGGTCAGATTATGCCTTGAATCAATTTTTAGAAAATTGAATATGCTTAGGTATTGGGAGAAAACATAAGAGAAGAATGAGAAAAGAAGAAAGTAACAAGTTTTTACCAAGATCATTGAGTGAGTTTTGTTAGGGCTAATCCCTTTTGGGTATGTGAGATATTTCTGTGATGGGTTCTTCCACCCACACAATAATATGTTTAATCATAGATATTAGAGTAGATTTAATGATGAACATTGAAGTTCTTGAGGAAAAACCATTTAATTCTTATTGGTTGAGTTGTAATATTCTTTTGGTTGTTTGATTCGTGTTTCCGGGTTGTTTTATGAGTCTAAATTATTGGGTATTTAGTATTTTAGTGATCCTAAGTGTTTGGTTGTGATCCATGAAAGTTTACAAGGTTTATAATTTAAAATTGGAGATGAAAAGTTGGAATTCCCATTGAGAAGAAGTGGGGCGCTGCGCCTCCCAAAGTTTCCAGTGCCTCGTTGATCAAGTTTCAGCATCTAGAGTTAGTGGTGATCCTGCTTGCTTCCGTAGGATCCTTTATTGCTTTCATTATTTCCTAATGAAATGTTGAGGGGTTTATCCCAACATTCATCTTACTAGTTGTCATAGACAAATAGATAGTCAGATAGTCAGTTAAGCTATGTCTTTAATTTTAGATATATACACATATTGTTTTGTGATTTAAGTGTAATTTGGACAAGACTATTATTTAAAGTGTTTTTCAAGAGAATGTTTCCATCTTTATATTTGTGTTATGTCTTCCGCTGCGTTAAGTAAGGTAGGACAAGGCTTAGCTCATGGCCATCAATGGTTGTTGGTTGCCGACCACGTTCACGGTGTAGGCTTCAGGCGTGAAAAACTTTGTATGGGAGCACAGAGTTTAAGAGTCGTAGGGAGTCTATGAAACCATATATGTAGAGTCTTAGTAATCGGTGTGAAGTGCATCACATCTATGTTTAGAAGGCTACAACATTTAGGAAATTCTCACTTATTTCATACTCATCTCGTGCGTTAGAGTTTATCTCTAAAAGTTTCCCTGTATTTCTTACTTGCGCGTGTTTCAGATCATCATGCCTTTACGAAGAGAAATCAAAGGCCGACCAGACAGAAGGGATGTCGATAAACCAAAGGCACATAATACACCAAATATGCAACCTCAACGAGTAGTCACAAATGCTGAAATCTGTGAGGCTATCCGGATGTTTAGTCATGTTTTGACCAACCAAGTCGAGAAACAAAGAGGAGCTTGACAAGAACTCTATTCGTGAGTTAATGCATGTGGTTGATGTTGAAAGGGTTGAACTAGCCGCATATCAATTGAAGAATGTGTCTAGGACTTAGTTCAATTAGTGGAAAGGGAATATAGATTTGAATGAACCACATCCCAGTTGGCTTTCTTTGAAGAAGACTTCTTAGGGCGTTTCTTTCCCCAAGAATTGAAGAAAGCAAAGGTGCGGGAATTCCTTACTTTGTAACAAGACTCCTTGGGTGTTCATGAGTATGGTTTAAAGTTTACCTAATTGTCTTGTTATGATCTAGAGATTATTAAGGATATGACATTAGGATAAGTTTGTTTGTTACTAGCTTGGGTCGTTTTTCAAGTAAAGAGGTAGGCTACAAGTTCTATTTGGGACATGGACATTTCGGGGTTAATAGTCTATGTGCAACAAGATGAAGATGAGAAGATTAGGGACAAATAGGAGTATAGGAAGAAGAAAGCTAAGACTGGGAATTAGTCTGCTCAAAATAAGGGTGGTTCAAGTCGACTAAAATTTCATAAACAAAAGGGGAATGCACCATCATTTTCTAATGCACCTGCTCCTAGAAACAAAGGTGAGTATAATCGCAAGAATTGGTAGAACTTTAAGGCTAGACCAGCCATGTCCCAATTTAGTAAGGCACAAGGAGGTAGTTGGTCTCCTGCATGTTGTAGGTGTGATAGAAACCACACTGGTAAGTGTCGTGGTGGCCAGTTGGGTTGTTGCAAATTCGGTCAAGAGGGGAATTATATGAAATACTTTCCCAAGAATAAGGAGGGGGGGGGGTGGAAATCCGGGCAATGGAGATCAATCATCATCAGTTGATCCACAACCCAGGGCTGCACCTAGAGGATCCACTTCAGGTGCTTGCGGAGGGGAAAACCATCTCCATTCAATCACTAGCCACCCAGAGCAAGAGAACTCTCTATACGTTCTCACGCTTATGGTCAAAATCTTTACTTTTGATGTTTATGATTTTTTAGACCCAGGAGCAAGTTTATCTTTTATAACTCCTTATGTTGCAAATCAGTTGGAGATTCTCCCAAAAAATCTTTATGAAACCTCATGTTTTTCTACACCTATTGGAGAGTGTATTCTAGCGGAAAGAGTCTATCGTGATTGTCCAATTTCCATCAGTGACAAAATAACATGGCTTATCTAGTAGAGATATACATAGTAGATTTTGATGTCATTCTAGGTATGGATTGCCTTCGTACTTGTTATGCGTGAATAGATTGTAGAACTCGAGTGGAGTAGTAGTTCATTAGTGGCTAAGGTTTATTTCATTTCGTACCTTAGGGTGATAAAGTTAGTTTCAAAAGGGTGTATATATCACTTAGTAAAAGGTAATGACTCAAGTGCTGAGGTACATTCCCTTTACTCAGTTTCAATAGTGAAAGAGTTTCAAAATGTCTTTCCTGATTATCTACCTGGAGTAATTCCTTAAAGGGAGATAGACTTCGGCATAGACATCATCCCAGATATTTGTCCTATCTCTATACCTCCATGTAGAATGGCACCAACAGAATTAAACGAGCTAAAGAACAATTGAATTATTACTCTAATAAAGGCTTCATTTGACCAAGTGTGTTACTTTGGGGAGCTTAGGTCTAATTTTTTAGGAAATAGGATGTTTCGTTCAGGATGTGTACATAATATTGCAAATTGAATAAGGTGAGTATCAATATTAAATATCCTCTTCCAAGGATAGATGATCTTTTCAACCAGCTTCAGGTTCTTCTTGCTTCTCGAAAATTGATTTTAGAATCAGGCTACCATCAGTTGAAAGATAAGGAATGTGACCTTCTAAAGACAATGTTTAGAACAAGTTATGGGTATTATGAGTTTTTAGTTATGTCCTTCGGTTTGACAAATGCTCCTGCAACATTCATGGATCTTATTAACAGAGTCTTCAACCTTATTTAGATCAGTTTGTCATCGTCTTCATTGATGAAATACTTGTTTATTCAAGGAATGAAGAAGATCATGCTAGTCACCTCAGGATTGTTCTGCAGACTTTAAACGATAAAGATCTATAAGACAAGTTCTCCAAGTGTGAGTTTTGGTTTAGCTCTGTGGCATTCTTGGGCCACATTGTTTCTGATGATGGGATTAGAGTTGATACCCAAAAGATAGAAGAAGTTCAGAGTTGGCCTAGACCCACATATCAAACAGATATAAGGAGTTTCTTGGGTTTGGATGGATATTATATGAGGTTTGATGAAGGTTTCTCCAATATCTCGTCTCCTTTGACCAAGCTAACTGAAAAGACAGTCAAGTTTCAGTGGTTTGAAGTTTGTGAGAAAAGTTTTCAGTTATTGAAAAATAGATTGAGCGCTCCGACTTTTACCTTACTGGAGGGTACTAAAGTTTTTGTCGTGTACTGTGATGTATGTAGAGTTATTTTAGGCTGCGTGTTAATGCAGAACGAAAGGTTATAACTTATGCCTCCAGACAGTTAAAGGTTCATGAGAAGAATTATCCAACCCATGACTTAGAATTGGCTGCACCACTTTTTGCCTTAAAGATATGGCGTCACTACATGTATGGCGTTCATATTGACATATTCAGTGATCACAAGAGCCTGCAATCTGTGTTTTCTTTGAAGGAATAGAATCTCAAATAGGGGAGGTGGTTAGAATTACTCAAAGATTATGATATGAGTTTTCATTACCACCCAGGTAACGCTAATGTGGTTGTTGATGCCTTAACAAGGTTATCCATAGGTAATACCAACCATGTTGAAGAAGAAAAAAGGAATTTCGCTAAAGATGTGCACAACCTTGCAAGTCTAAGAGTAAGACTTATGATTGCACAGAAGGAGGCATAATAGTGACTAATACGGCTAAGATAATCACTAGTATCATGGAATCTCAAATAGGGGAGGTGGTTAGAATTACTCAAAGATTAGGATATTAGATTTATTTACTACCCAGGTAAGGTAATGTGGTTGTTGATGCCTTAAGAAGGTTATCCACAGGGAATACCACCTATGTTGAAGAAGAAAAGAAGAATCTCGCTAAAGATGTGCACAGACTTGCAAGTCCAAGAGTCAAACTTATGATTGCACAGAAGGAGGCATAGTTGTGTCTAATAGGGCTAAATCATCACTAGTGTCATAGAATCTCAAATAGGGGAGGTGGTTAGAATTACTCAAAGATTATGATATGAGTTTTCTTTACCACACAGGTAAGGCTAGTGTGGTTGTTGAGGCCTTAATATGGTTATCCATATGGAATACCACCCATGTTGACGAAGAAAAGAGGAATTTCTCTAAAAATGTGAACAGACTTGCAAGTCTAAATGTCATACTTATGATTGCATAGAAGGAGGCATAGTGGTGACTTATAGGGCTGAATCATCACTACTACCAGAGGTGAAAGAGAAACAAGACTAAGACCCCATTTTGCTTAATTTGGAAGAGAAAATTCAAAAGCAAATAGTATTGGCTTTTGGAGAAGGGGAAGATTGTGTACTGAAGTACAAAAGTTTATTTGGTGTACGTAGGGTGGATGGAATCCAAGAGAGTATCCCGGAGGAGGCTCAAAGCTCTAGAGATTCCATTCATCCGGGTTCCACAAAGATGTACCACTATTTGAGAGAGTTATATTTGTGGGATGTCGTGAAAAAAGATATTGTTGAGTTTGTTTCCAATTGCCAACAAGTGAAGTAGAGCACCAAAGGCCTAGAGTTTGGCTCTGACGATTTCCGCAATCGAAGTGGGAGATGATTAGGTATTTTATCACAAGCTTGCCAGGATTTAGCAGACAACATGTTTTGATTTGGGTGATAGTCAATAGAATGAAAAAGTCAGCCCGTTTCTTCTCGGTAAGGACTATCTATGCGGCCGAGGATTATGCTATGTTGTACCTTCAAAAGGTTGTGAAACTTCGTGGATTTCCGGTCTCCATTATTTCATATAGAGGTGTACAATTTACTGCACAATTCTTGAAATCATTCAAGAAAGGTATGGGTTAAAAGGTGAACTTAAGAGCTACTTTTAATACTGTCACGACCAAAATCCGGGCCACGACTGGCACCCACACTTACCCTCCTATGTGAGCGAACCAACCAATCTAAACCTTAACATTTCAATATAATATAAACAGAAAGTAATGCGGAAGACTTAAACTCATTAATAAAAACCAATTCAATAACTATAAATATTCAACATCTATTATTCCCAAAACCTAGAAGTCATCATCACAAGAACATCTACTTTAAACTACTAATTCTAAGAGTTTCTAAGAAGCTAAAAATACATAAGAAGCTAGTCCATGCCGGAAGTTCAAGGCATCAAGACATGAAGGAGAATATCAAGTCCAAGCTAGAACCGTTAGCTCACCCTGAAGATCCGTTGTGACGAAGAATGGTTTGAGTTACTGATGAGTCGAAGATGACCGCACGTTTGCTGCACTCCACAAATAACAAGAAGGAAAAACATAAAAGTAGGGGTCAGTACAAAACACAGGTACTGAGTAGATATCATCGGCCAACTCAAAATAGAGAAGAGTATATATCAAGTAATATCATAAATCAATTATAAAACACAACATGTAGCAACAACAAGTACTATAATCATCAGTAAGTACCATCAAGTTCATCCATGAGGGCTCAAGCCTCAACACCATACTCATTTGGGAATTAAGTTTTATTAAATTGAGTATATTATCATCTTCCAAGATTCATTATCTTTCTTCCTCTTGTGTCGGTACGTGACACTCCGATCCCCTACTACTATGTGTCGGTACGTGACACTCCGATCCCCTAATTCTATGTGTCGGAACGTGACACTCCGATCCCCTACATGTGTCGGAACGTGACACTCCGATTCCGTACATGTGTCGGTACGTGACACTCCGATCCACTAATACTATGTGTCGGTACGTGACACTCCGATCCCCTAATTCTATGTGTCGGAACGTGACACTCCGATCCCCTACATGTGTCGGTACGTGGCACTCCGAGCCCCTAATTCTATGTGTCAGAACGTGACACTCCGATCCACTAATACTATGTGTCGGTATGTGACACTCCAATCCCCTAATTCTATGTGTCGGAACGTGACACTCCGATACACTAATATCATTCTGTAAATCATCAAGCCTTCTCTATACCAAGGCATCATCAATCCCATTACTTTAATTCATCAAGCCTTCTTCTATACCAAGGCATCATCATTAATAATGTATATTAAAGTTTCTTTTCAAGATTTGGGATTCAATATTTTCATCATGCTTATCTTATCACAATCACGTAATCATATTCATGCAAACATACCATTAAGCATATAGTAGGGTTTACAATACTACCAATACATATCATTCACTATTGAGAGTTTACTTATGAAAGCATGAAAACCATAACCTACCTCCACCGAAGAATTAGAATCAACAAGCAATTTCCCAAGCTTTGATATTCCCTCTGCCTCTTGATCGATCAATTTCTCTCTCTCCTTGTTCTCTCTATTTTCTTTATTCAAACCCTCTTTCTTTTACCCTAGTGAACATATAATTAAGTGTAAAAGATGGCAATAATACCCCACTAATTAACTTAGGGTTACCTCTTTTAACCCCCAAGAATTTGAGTTATTAATATAGACCCACAAAATCTATAATTAAGGAACGAATAGTCAAAAAACGTCCCTTAAAATGTGTAAGGAAATCCAATTCTTCCTGGGATTTGCGCAACCTGTGACGGGCCGTCGTGCCTGCGACGGTCCGTCCTGCAGGTCGTCGCAAGAGTCAGAGAGTCAATTTCCACTGAACAATCTATGACGGTCCGTCACGTCTGTGATGCTCCATCCTGCCATTCCGTCACGAAGTTTAGAGAGTCGATTTTCAGTACCCAATTTCAGATTTTCTAAGTGTTTTGAAACGAGACCCTGCGACGGTCCGTCGTGCCCATGACTGATCGTCGTTTGGTCCGTCGTCTCAGCCTGTTTTTCCAGAATTGAAGTTTGTTGCTCAAAACGACTAAACAGGTCGTTAGAATAGATACCAATTTACCCATCGTTCGTCCCCGAACGATCAAAAGAAGGAAAACAAGGGCGAAAAGGAGTACCTGAATCTGTAAAAAGATGTGGGTATTTTTCTCGCATATCCGCCTCCTTCTCCCAAGTGGCTTCTTCAACGGGTCGATTCCTCCATTGCACCTTGATGGATGCAATCTCTCTTGACCTCAACTTGCGAACTTCTCTATCTAAAATAGCAACAGGCTCCTCCTCATAAGACAAGTTCTAATCAAGCAAAACTGAATCCCAACGGATAATGTAGTTCCCATCCCCATGGTATCTTTTCAACATCGACACATGGAATACCGGGTGTACTCCGGACCGCCTTGGAGGCAAGGCTAACTCATAAGCCACCTCCCCTACTCGCTTAAGTACTTCAAATGGTCCAATGTACCTTGGACTTAGTTTACCCCTTTTTCCAAACCGCATCACCCCTTTCATGGGTGAAACTTTCAACAAGACTTGTTCACCCTCCATGAACTCTAAGTCTCTAACCTTTCGATTTGCATATTCTTTTTGTCTACTTTGCGCCGCTAGAAGCTTTTCTTGAATTGACTTCACTTTTTCCATCGAATCCTTCAAGAGATCAGTACCCAAAGGTCTGACCTCGAACGCATCAAACCAACCAATGGGAGACCTACATCTACTACCATACAATGCTTCAAATGGAGCCATATCAATACTTGAGTGATAGCTATTATTGTATGAAAACTCCGCCAAGGGTAAGAAGCTATCCCAATGGCCACCAAATTCTATCACACACGCACGAAGCATATCCTCCAACAATTGAATCGTTCGCTAAGACTGACCATCGGTCTGGGGATGGAACGCAGTACTAAGGTCCAACCTAGTACCCAATTCTGCATACAATGTTTTCCAAAACTTAGAAGTAAACTGCGTACCTCTATCTGATATGATGGATAGTGGAACCCCATGCAATCGCACCACCTCCGAGATGTAAAGTTTGGCTAACTTTTCTGCATTGTAAGTCACCTTGACCGGAATGAAATGAGCAGATTTAGTTAACCTATCAACAATCAACCAAATGGAGTCATACTTACCCATTGTCTTCGGAAGACCAACCACAAAATCCATTGCAATTCTTTCCCACTTCCATTCCGTAATGGGCATTCTCTGAAGTGTTTCTCCGGGCCTTTGGTATTCACACTTTACTTGTTGACAGTTTGGACACTTGGCAATAAAGTCAACAATATCACGCTTCATTCTACTCCACCAAAAGTGTTGCTTTAGGTCACGATACATCTTGGTTGCACCCGGATGTATAGAATACCTTGAACTATGAGCCTCTGTCAGAATAGTGTTGATGAAATCATCGACGCGGGGTACACATACCCTTCCCTTGATTCTCAAAACACCTTCCTCATCGATTTGTGCTTCCTTAGCCTCTCCTCGCAATACTTTATCTTGAATTCTGTGCAGTTTCTCATCATCAAACTGCCTTCCCTTAATCTTGTCAAGAAAGGAAGATCTTGCCTCCACAGAAGCCAATAATCCTCCCCTCTCCTTTACTTATAATCTCATCAAGTCATTAGCTAAAGTTTGAACCTCTCTAGCCAGTGGGCGTCTAGAGGCTTGCAAGTGAGCTACACTTCCCATGCTTCCAGCCTTTCTACTTAAAGCATCCGCTACAACATTCGCCTTCCCCGGATGATACAAAATAGTGATGTCGTAGTCCTTCAGTAGTTCCATCCATCTCCTCTGTCTTAAGTTCAAATCTTTCTAAGTAAAGACATACTGAAGGCTACGATTATCCGTGTAGACCTCACACTTAACCCCATATAAATAGTGTCTCCATTGCTTTAATGCAAACACTACCGCAGCCAATTCCAAATCATGAGTTGGATAGTTACGTTCATGCACTTTTAATTGTCTTGAAGCATAAGCAATCACACTCTTCTCTTGCGTTAGTACTGCACCCAACCCAGAATAGGATGCATCACAATAAACAATGAAGTTCTTACCCTCTACTGGCAAGGTAAGGATAGGTGCGGTAGTCAACAAAGTCTTGAGCTTCTGAAAGCTTTCCTCACATTCGTCCGACCATACAAATGGAACATTCTGCTTAGTCAAGTTCGCCAATTGGGAAGCAATAGAAGAGAATCCCTTGACAATTCGGCGGTAGTAGCTAGCTAACCCAACAAAGCTCCTTATTTCTGACACATTAGTAGGTCTTACCCAATTCTTCACTGTCTCAATCTTAGAAGGATCCACCATCACTCCATCCTTAGAAACCACGTGCCCCAAGAAGGACACTGCATCTAGCCAAAACTCACACTTAGAGAACTTGGCATAAAGCTTTTTCTCCCTAAACATTTCCAATACCATTCTCAAATGCTCTTCATGTTCCTTCTTGCTCTTTGAGTATACCAATATATCATCAATAAATACGATCACGAAGAGGTCCAAATATGGCTTAAAAATCCCGTTCATCAAGCTCATGAACGCAGCAGGGGCATTCGTAAGACCAAAGGACATCACTACAAATTCGTAATGCCCATACCTCGTTCGAAAAGCAGTCTTTGGCACATCCGTTGCCCGTATTTTCAATTGATGATAACCGGATCTCAAGTCAATCTTAGAGAAGACACAAGCACCTTGTAACTAATCGAACAAGTCATCAATGCGGGGAAGAGAATACTTGTTCTTTATGGTTACCTTGTTTAGTTGTCTGTAGTCTATACACATTCGAAAACTCCCATCCTTCTTCTTTACAAACAAAGCCGGAGCACCCCAAGGGGATGCACTTGGTCTAATGAAGCCTTTGTTCAATAGCTCTTGAAGTTGTGCCTTTAACTCTCTTAACTCCGCGGGAGCCATTCTATAAAGGGGTATAGAAATGGGGCGAGTACCGGGTTCAAGATCAATACAGAAGTCAATATCCCTATCCGGTGGCATATCAGGAAGATCTGCAGGGAACACATCCAGAAACTCACGAACTACTGAAACCGACTCAATCGAAGGTACTCTGGTAGTGTCATCCTTGAGATGTGCCAAGAAAGCTAAACACCCTTTACTAATCATTTTCTTATCACAAAGAAAGGAGACGATGCGGACCGGATTGGAAGTGTAGTCACCCTCCCACACTAACGGGTCTATCCCAGGCTTGGCT